CGCTTATGAGTGAGTACATTAAAAAAAAAAAGCTTTTTGGCTGGGGGTCACTACAACATGAGGAACTACATTAAAGCGCTACAGCAAGGAAGGTTGAGAACAGTGTGCTAAAAGATCAGGTAGAGGGACTGCGCCCAGTCCCTGCTGTTACAGCCATCAATAGCAGATCAGGTAGCGGGACTGTGCCCGCTGCCACTGCTGTTACAGCCATCAATAGCAGCCTTGACCATTTTTATCAACCTGAGTTTAAAGTCTCTACTAACAATTAAAAGTCAATGAAATTCACCGTTCTTTACTCATAGTCAGAAGAGAAATGTACTACATGGTTAAGAAACAGGCTTCAAGAGTTATAAAATGATAAAAACAACAAAAAGGAGCTGGGCATTTTACCGATTGTATACTTGAATAAATGGAGTTAGGTAAAGCTGCTTGTTTGGTCTTATAGCTGATGTATGTTAGGACTGCATTTTTACATCTACAGGCTTCTAATCATAACCTTCAGTTCCTTTCATAAAATCGTCGTACTTGATAATCATCGAGGATCCTAAATAAGAAAGAACTCCTCCATCAGGTGACCACAGATCACTGCTTCTCTACTTCCCTCAGATTGGCGTGTGCATCCCATAAAAGCAAGAATATTTACGTCTATGTATGCTTCTGGGAGGGGTCAAATGCACAACCAGTTTGCCTTTGTAACTTAAGCTATAAAGAGGCAACTTACTAATTATAGGACATTCAACCATATTTGTTCATTTCTTTCCAACAGGACCCACAGATCGGAGGAGAAGGAATGGCGGGCGCTGGCCTGTCCCTGGAACAGCTGAGACAGCTGCAGAGATTTGATCCATCAGTTGTGCCACTTCAGAGCGTGGACCCTGATTGTCTCCAAGATGCCAAGAGAGAAGACGTGATCTGGCTGGCCAACAGGGACTGTATAGGCTTCTTTATTGCAAAGTTTCTAAAATGTAAAAGCACAGAGGAGGTTTCTTGAAACTGAAAATTCAGAAGATTTTCTCCATGTGTTGCTTTTTCTTACACCTAAGTGTTTTCAGGCCAGTGGAGTGATGGCATGTTTGCTCAGGACACAGGAAGGTGCTAATGGAAGGAGCAGTGTGTATAAGTCGCCCTGCAGATGTAGGGGCTGGGAAAGCATACTCTGCCTTATATGATCCAAAAGGAAAGGAGGACTCCCTTTGGGTCTGGAGTATACTGTCAGTTTTAACTCATATTGTTTTTTCTAATGTGAAAAAAATAGTTCAAAGACAAAAGAATAAAACTCTGAATTTTTCATGTGGTTATGAAAAAGTGTGTTTTCTGTTCCAAATCTGGCAGTAGTTATTGCAGTAGGCACTCAGACCATGGGCTGTAGTAACACTGCGTGCTTCATGACTGAGGTAAGGCGGCGTGTTACCTGAGTTCTGCCCCTCCCCCTCTGCTTACTAATTCTAGGTCAGGCTCTTTTACTTTAAAGATTTATTCACTTATTTACTGTGTATGGTTTCTGTGTAGAAGTTCCGCTCATGCCATGGCACACACGGAAGTCAGAGGACAACTTTGGGAGTCACTTGCCCCCTTCTGCTTGAATTCATGTCATCAGGTTTGTGTGGCAAGTACTTTTACCTGCCAAGTCATTTCATCAGCCTCTGCTCTCCTAAATGAAATTTGGAATTGTGCTAGATAATAATCTAAAAAGTAAAATATAGGTTTTTACTTTGTAGACTAAAAAACAATTAAAAGTGGTCCATATTTTGGCTGTATTTTATCATTTTCTGGAACAGAAATTATAAAAAAAAAAACATGCTTGGTAAGGAGCAGAAAACAGTGACTGACAGCTAAGACCTGGCCTGGCGTTTCTGCTGGGCTTTGGCTTCTCTTGAAGAACGTAAGCAGCTTCATAGAACACAGGCTCCAGGCAACTGTGTCTGATAGATAAGACAAAATGAAAGCTGTTCTTAATCAAATCTTAACTGACCTGAGACAAACACAAGAACCTCAGGCAGTCTGCAGAAGTGACCAGGCATCCTGCCACTGTAGCTAGTCTTCCTTGGATAATATATCCAGTCTGCCTGGGCCACACTAGCGGCCTAAGTTTATGATTTTCAAAAACTCCGTCATATCTTCAGACTGGCTTCATTCTACCTGCTGCATAGATAAACTCTGTGAAAGATGTCCAGTACCCAGCAACAATTGAAAGGTCTCACATGGAACACACCAGACTAATGTGTTATCTTCCATTTACATCCTTCCAAATTACTGGACTTCGTCGTGTCAAATGGACAACGGAAACCAATTGCTGCTGGTTTCTTTTCCTCGTAGGTTTCCTGTAGGAAGGTCTCTCAACAACTTACCATGTCCATGAAGACGGCAGCAGCTCTTGGGTCAGTAAAGCTTTTGGTGGCTTCTTCCTGGAGAACATGTCTTTGAACAGCTCTGAGCTCTACATCCAAGTGCCTGTATCCACGGCTCACGGCATGTTATAATGCCACTTTACTGTGGTTAACCTGAGCTCACTCATACACGTGGGAAATGTACCAGAGCAGAAAAACTAGTTTTTTTTTTCTTTACAGTCACTGCTTCAGAGTAGATAGTCAATAGGTGTTTATTGAATATGAAAATTTATATTGAATTTCCTAAGATTCAAGTATATAAACAAATCCTTTTCTTCTTTCCTTCTGCCTGTGTCCAGTAGATGCTATTTTGACTAAAGAGAAACACCATCTCCTTGTGGTATTTGTTTCTGGGACTCAGTGTAACCCCTCTGGTTTTAAAAGACTATTTTAAGCAATGCCATAATCATTGCTTTCTTTCCTGCTCTCTGTACATGCTTAATGTGCTAAGCTGGGGTGAGAATGAGAGAGATATAGCCTAGCTCCAAATTTGCATGGTGTCAGCTTTTAACCATTCTAGTAAGCCCAGAGTACATGCAGAGCTAACAAAGACAACTCTGCTTGTGTTTAAAACATCAAGGACACAGAATACTGTTAACAGCTTTCCTATTAACATGGGCCAATTGTCAGTGGATTTATTCCCTCAAATTTGAAAACAAACCACACATTCTTCAAGGACACAAAAATGTTAGAAAAAGGTGCAATAAATGGAAAAAATCAGGGACACGTGGAAGGATATTAACGTATCTTTTTAACATAGTTTTAATATAGATTATTTCTATGAAAACAGAAAATATTTAATTCAGTGGTAAATACATGTTAATGAAAATCCTATGTTAGATTTTAGTTTATATAGCAAAGTGAAGTAAAGCAGTTAGTAAGACCGAGCGCCAGCAGTACGACATTTGCTGGAATAAGACCAGAGCATCAAGGAGGAGTGGCAGCACCTCGCTGAGCAGACGGGAAGCTGTGGGTCCTCTTAAACATGAAATAAATCTAAGTATGAATCTGAATTACTCTACAGGGTTGAATAAGGTGGGAAGAGGACGCCTCTCTGGATCACACTGTAAAAATTTTCTACCTACCTTTGTTTTTTTATTTATTTTTTTCTTAAATTAGACACGGAGAGAAGATTACCAAAAGAACACCAGGATATTGGCATTCGCTGGATAAAGATATGGTAAGTGTGGGATCTCACATATTCGCTCCTAAGATGGCCATGAACACCACTGGTAAACAGTGTAGATGCCAGCTATTTGTTTCTATGACTTTAAACCAAGTTCGTTAAACAGTGCAGAGTCGTGACAATGAGGGTTTGTTTAGCAGGAACGCAGAGCAGACCGTGTTAAGATGTGGCATTGTCGCGAAGTACAGTATGACTATAGACATCCTACGTTTAGCAGCACCTTTTTTAGAATCAGTAAGTTAAGTAAAAGAGCAGTAGAGAGCGCATAGGGAAAGCCGAAGTGACTAGCGGGAGAATAACACCGTTAGCGCCATTTCCGTCGTTCCTGGCCTGACTGCAGCAAAAAGAAGTCAGGATTCTACAACTGAGCACGTTAAAATTGAGCCTTTGATTGTGGAAAGCCTGGCATTACATTCCAGACGTGCCCTTTGTCAGCTCCTTCGGCAGAACAGACGAATGCTTTGATGTGCACAAACATATTCACAGTAAAGCGAGGACCTACAAATTGGGTGCGAAACTGACCAGGTGGACACCTCTAGAACAGTTCTTTGAAAGGGATGAATGGTGACTGACAGCAAGTGAGAAACGCTGTCCTTCGCGTCTGAGCGCCTCAGAGCCATTCCTTGGGATGAAATAACGCACGGGAACGGATTACCTCACTGCTGAACACCTGTGACAACTGCTGACATTTGATGTTATGAGAACAGTCTCACCTTGAGTAGATAGTAATTCGGGTATAGTCTGTAAATTCTGTAAGTACTATAGTTAGTGCTGATTCTAAGGGGAAATTTTTATTTGACAAGCTGCTTAAACACTGGTAAAATAGTGTATGCAATTCATATTTTAAATACTTTTGTTTTCTTGAGTATAGGATAAAGTATTAAGCATAAAACTGCTTTAAATAAAAAACTGCTTTATTCATAAATGCCTAAGAGTATTTGGGAAGAACCTGGAATATCCAGGAAACTAATCAAAAAATATTTTTATTAGGACGATTATTGTAGTAATATAGGGATCTGGTTGGATAATCACAGATAAGTGTTTTCCTGGGAAAAACTTCAAATGCTAGGGCCCATGCAACTAATACAGTCTAACCTAGCCATCAGCACTGGACTCCTGAGAGATACAGAGATTTCATAGCCTTAGCACGAGAGCATAGTACACTTCTTAGAGCAGGCAAATTGAAGCATGAAGAAAGTGTCTTCTGGGTTTTCCTTCAGGGTAAGTGTCTCATGTAAGAAAATATTAACTTTTTTTTTTGCTTCAAGTCATTCCATTTTGCCCTGATAGGCTCTAATGATTTAGCAGAAACTTTGGTTATAAGGAGCACTTCTGGGTTCTGATAGACAGTGAAACTGTTGGGGTTGATTCTGGGAGAAGACCAGCAGGCAACTGGCGATAAACAACAGGAGCAATAGGCAAGGTTAGAAAGTGAACTGGGATACGTTATAAAAATTTATTTCCCTACGAAATAATTGCACAAGCTGTGTAAACATTTCTTACTAAAACAAAATACTCTGACACACAAGGTTGTACATTTCCAGTGGAACACGCACAGTCCAAGATGCCCGTGTTTTCTCTTTCAGGAGCTACAGCAAGAAGTCAGCAGATAAGTGCTTCCCTAGTTACCTTTGGCAGCAAGCTTCTTCACATTCCCTGGCTGCTTATAATGAAATCCTAAGCCAGGCGGGCAGGACTCGGCCGGCAGCCTCTAGTCTCTGCGTCGATCGATTGCATTCCACTTCTCCAGTCGCTCACACACTCACACGCGTGCACACGGCGGGTTCGGCTTGGCTACTCCAGTGCAGTGACTATCACAGACACTAGCTGCTAAAAACGTGTTTGTCACACTCAGTGTGGACTGTATGGAGTAGAAAATCCTCTGGAGTTTGGTTATAATTACCATAATTTATGGTTAAAATTAAAAACTTAAACGGATGGGCTAACATTCAGAAATCAAACCTCAAGTCAAACAGTCACACTTATTTACAATATGTACAGGATCGCTTATAGAATGGGGAGAGGAGTCTAGACAATGTTATTAGAAATTTCCTGAATGTGGCCATTTCTAGTCCCTGTGATTCATAAAGCAAATCTGCTGACTTGGCATTAATACCCTAAAATATTGTGATCAAACTGATATATATATATATATTATATAATTATAATAAGGTGTTTGCAGAAATAACATTTACAAACTGTCTATACAGTACACAGTACTAGTACATAGAAAATAGATTCTAACTTTATAATCCCCTTTGTGTAAGGCAAGACTGAATCTGTCCCCAAATTTAGTCAGCCAGAGGTACAAGCAAGAAACAGTGGTCCATGAAAGAATGACGGGTCAGGTATCTGGGTATTAAAAATCTGGAGAAATTCCACTCGTTATCTGTGCTGCATCTGGCTCACTGGATACATTAACTGCATTTCTGAAGCCACTCTTGTTAAGTGGCAGCTGCCCCAAACCGTATTTGGAGAGTCCCGGATAAAGATGGAGGACTGTAGCTGTACTAGGCCAATTTATGTGGTACTTTCAAAAGAATGTATATTAATATTTGGTTGCATGCTGTTGCTACTGAAGCAACAGCGATACAATATACAGGACAGGTCACAGATGGTTGCAGTGTAGCCCCCAGAGATTTTGCTTAAGGATGATGTTACACAAAATCTGGGGGCAGGGACACACACGGTCATTGGCGGATGTAGACGTCCCTGTTCCACTCGCCAGCCTCGTTCCTCCTCTTGGATATCACTTCCGCTTCCTTGTCGCAGTAGCGGTCCTTAGATTTATGCCGGCTCCGTTGCTTGTTGCACTCGTTGTGGTCCTGCTCTCGACCCGTGTCCCTAGAGCGGTGACGAGACTCTCTGTGTCTGTGGCCATTGCTGCTGTGGGTCTCGTCTCTGTGGTTATGTTCGCGGTGTGGGGCATAGTGGTCCACGTGTTCGTAGGAATAATCTTCCTTTGGCTCCACATAGGCAGAGTCTCGGCTCTCCTGGGTTTCAGAGTCAAATGTCTCTTGCCTAGAGAGGCCGCGACCCGTCCCACTGCGGTGGTTTTGGTGTGTGGCTGAGGAGGAAGAACGATGCTGGGATTTCTTGACTGGTTCCAGACAAGGTTCTTCTTCAGCTTGGGAAGCAGACCTGGGAGCAGAGCGATCAGCCCTCTGATCACCTTGAGAACCCTGGAGAAGGGGCACATGAGGGCATCAGCTAAGGACAGAAGCTAAGGAACTTTAAAGTGTACAGAGAGCCGCACCGTGAAATACCCAGAATGCTGAAATGAAGCCTAGACCACCTTAGGCACTTTTTGAAACACCTAGAGGCACTGCTTAAATTGGACTTGTGCTCATAGTTACATTTCATTTTAAGGATAGGGAAAGAATGTTCTTTTATAGTCTTTGGTGATTCTAGTACCGATGCAGGTGTCTATACCATAGTTTTAACTAATCTGCTTCAGTAGATTAAAATTCATTAAGATGGGGCATTTAATGGGACATGTACTATTCTAGAACCCTCACAAAAGAGGGTGTCCTTAAGTTTGTTGCTCACTTTTCATTCTCAGCCTCAGCCTCCCAAAAAGCTAATGTTATAAGCAAGTGGCATAATATGGAGCTAAATATGACTCCTTTGAGTCAATAATTAAGCCATCTGAGCTAGCTCCCTATTATGGTTTTGGAGCAGGGACAGCCAAGGAACCGACTGAGGTTGTAAACACGATCTACCATCTTAGTGCCTGTGCTGTCAGTGGACTCCAGAGGCTGAGTTGTTTGTAGTGTGTTCTCTTTACAGTTCTTTGCTTCCAGGTACACAGCTCATACTGGACTTAGTTCTTTATTCATAGGTGCACAACTCAGAGAGACTTGGTTAAATGGCACACATCTTAGTTTGATGAGCAAAGGAGAGTAGAGCAAGCACTGAATTACCTCTCTGGGCTTGAGTCCCAGGGGTATAGCTCAGGCAGCTTAGATTCTCAGTGAAGACCACCATAAAAGGAAGCCCTCTTACCTGTGAATTAGAGGCTAGGGTGGGGCTCATGGGTAAAGCTGAAGTGGCTAGCGTTCGGCTAAGGAGAGGGTTAGGGAGGTTACTGCTGGGTGGGTGGGTGGCCTTCCAGTAGGCCTCCAGATAGTCGGCGAGATGCTCGCAAGCATCCTCAAGCTGGTTCTCATCCAAGATCACATCAAATGACTCCTGCTAAAGGAAGCATTTCAGATAGTACATTAATGCAACCCAGGACCAAGATCCTTCCCCTCCCCAAACCTATAAGCAGAGGAGAGGCCTTGCCCATTGTATTTGTTCTTGCCCTGTTTTTCCATTTTCCCTTAGCTGAGTCTCTTAGCTTATGCATGTGTCACTTCAAATTGCTAATTAAAACACCGAATGGCTAACTAATTGCCCGAAAGTGGACAGCTGTCAGCATGATTGGTAAGGGCAATGCAGGGCGGTTATTATCAGTGGTGGAAAAAGCATGCTGATACTATGGTAGGAACACACGGCAAATCCAAACAATTTAGAAGGGGGCTTGTTCTTGTTACAGACTGCAGGAAGTTCTGGAAGCTGATGAGGCAGGATTAGGTCATGCACTTTGGCAGAAGTAGCTCAAACTACTGACATTTTGACATGATCCAAACTGCACAGCTCAGTGGGAGGAGAGGTTCTTTACTTTTGAATATTTAAAATCATTGATCTAGAAATTTAACATACTTTACACCAATCAAACCCAGAATTACATCTTTCATAACTTTTGAAATCATTGTACTTGAATGAACACTTGATGGGATCTATTGTCCCAAAGTATAATATATAAAATTAGGAATGTATTTCTGGGAAACCTGGTGTTTAAAAGTTGGTTTGGGATGATGAGCTAGCTCACTGGGTAAAAGTGCTTGCTCTGCAACTGTGAGAGCCCGAGTTAGAATCTCCAGACCCCATGCCCAAACAAGGTACATAACACAGAGTTACTGTAATCCCAGCACTTCTACAGGAATATAGGCTACAGGCAAGAGAATCTTGGAAATCAGCCAGCCAACTAACCAGGCATACACTGGACCACAACAAGAGAACTTGTCTCCTATAAGATAGAAAGTGGGGACCAACAGCTACAGTTGTCCTCTGACCTCCATGTATGCCATGGTAAGCAAGCTCACGTCTGCATTCTTCTATACGGAAGTCAACATTTTGACAACAAACTGACAACAGTTTGACAGGGTCCCAAGTCAATTTCTCAAACACGTGTTAAGAGGGAACAACTTATTCCCTGTGACTAGATGTGAATAAGAACCAGAATCCAAATAGGTCCATCTTACACACCACAGTATTAGGAAGTGAGGCCTGTAAAGGGTGCATGTGGCATTTTTGGAAGGGTGATCTGATCTGATCTGGCCTAAGGATGCTCAGAATGCATGGTCACCCAGACTGCGGCATACTTTATGCTTTTGGAATGAATACCATTGTAAGTGAGGAGGAGTGTCTTCCCACAAGTATGTAACTGCAGCTTTTTAAAATGTAGGTCTGATCTTTCAGCTTTTACACCATATAGATAGATAACTTACCGGAGGACACTGAGCCAGTTTATCAGCTGCTACCATCTGGACATTGAGGTGTTTTGCTTGCGATTTCCCTCGAGATTTTATTAACCTTTGTAAAACCTGGAAATGGTAGGCATTTGTAACAGGAATATCTGTACTTGGGTAAGCTACAGGGTACACTACTACACTGTATTCTAATAGTACAATACTATTCTGTATTTTATAAATACAGAATATACAATACACACATATACATAATATATATAATACATTATATACATGGATGAAAGGCATCTATCATTAAGAAATAAAATACAACAGAGATTAACCACAAAATTAACAGTCTTGCACAAGTCTCTTGCAAGCTTAAACACTAGTATAAGGCTGATGTGGACTCTTTTTTTCTAGCCTAACAGTTCTCAAACTTTATGCCTCGTGACTTATTTAAGTTTAAAAAAGTTATGAACCCCAAAGCGCCATTGTTTGTAGGAAATATTTCTAGTATTTATCAAAAATCTTAGCACTGTTAATTCAGTCAAAAATAAATCTGGCACATGTTATATAAATCACTTTTAAGAAACCTTTAATTTGCTATAGTGTACAGTTCCATTGATATTTGTAAAGAGACCACTATAGATACACAGTTAAATAAAGAGGGATGTGCCTGTTGTGCCTCTTCAGAGACTTGGTGGCATTCTGTGACACTGTACTGAAGACCAGCAAGTTTATTCCCATAAAGTCCTGTGGCCATGAAGACTCAGTAGCCAGAGAACAGTGTAATGTACCAGAGTAGGAACAGTCCTAAGATCTTTACTGAAAGTTGCCAGGGCCCTTCACCAGGCATGACGTGTAAGCTCATTCATGACGTTCTGTATCTCTTGCACATTTACATACTTCATTGTTTAGTATTAGTGTTGACGGCAACAAACGGTTCTTTTGAAGTGTTGGATTGATTTGCTTAAAGAAAGACCTAAGTATGTGAGTTGGAATGAGCATCCTGTCATTAGTCCTAGAAGGAGAGTTGCACAGTGGCGTTGGTATCCCTCCTTGAGACAGTCTGCTCTGGACAGTAGCTGAACGCTTTAGTTCATTACACACAGTGTTAGGCAGTTTATCACTACTGCATCAGGACATTGTTATGTGAAACTGGTGTTTGTAACTGGTAGGCCATAAAGATGTGTTTGCTACTATGTGTATTCATGCTTGGACTACTAGCAGCTTTTTCACCATGTATGTAGATGCCAAGTGTGTTGAAAGGAAGCTACATCTTAATTTTGTCACGGAAGCAGCTTCCACTCTATGAACTCCCTGAAATCATTTCAGTGACCTATGATCCACACTTGAGACCACTGGTGCCAGCCGTAACAGTAACTAACCATGCTCATACTTCTCTTAAAACTTCTTGATTAGTGATTGGGTGTTCTCAAAACTCCATGTTCGTAATAAAGGCCTAGCCTGTGACTACTGGAAATCAGAGCATAAAGCACATTGCAGTGGTGTGGGAGAATTGTCTGTATTCTGTCAATCATGTATTTTAATAAAACGCTGATTGGCCAGGCAGGAAGTATAGGTGGGTCAACCAGACAGGAAGTAGAGGCGGGGCAATGAGAATAGGATAAGGCTAGGGAGGAAGAAACTCGCTCGGCACTCCTGCGCAGATCACTGAAGAAGCAACATGTAAGCTGCCCCCGCTGGAAAAGGTACTGAGCCATTATGGCTAACATAGATCAGAATAATGGGTTAATATAAGTTATAAGAGTTAACAAGAAGCCTGACCTAATGAGCCAATCAGTTTATAACCTAATGTAGACTCCGTGTGATTTTCCTTGGGACTTGCTGGCTTGTTGGGGTACTGGGCAGGACAGAAACCCCAACAAGCTAGCCTCATGCTACATTGCAGTAATGTCTGAATATAGAAAAACAATGTCAACCCCCACTTACCTTAGGAGAAGAAATCTTTACATACACTATAATAGGGGCCAAAGAGGTCTTACTGAGTTGAGCTGGGTGATTAATCGTATCTGCATCAAGGACTACCAATTGTAGTGTTCTTGCAAGTTCAAAAATCCTTTCAATTTCACTCTGAACTTCAGCTGCAAAGGTTAAACAGAGGTAACTTATTTAAAAGGACATGTTTTTAAACTACAGTAAGCTGGAGTAAAATGGCACACTCTTTCTTTATCCAGAGAGTCAGCTGCTATTTTAATGATTATAGTCAATGTGATGATGAAAGGTGTCCTTTGGCAAGGGCTGCTTGCTCACACCTTTGGTCCTCTAGGAATTATTCTTTCAGCCAGCACCAAATGCACCACCTTTCCCTGCGCATGTGCATGGACCATCCCTTATGTAAAGATGCACAACGTAAAGAGAGAGAGAGGGAGGGTGCCCATTAGAGATTTAGCCCAAGCCATACTCATACTTTCCACCAGTGAGGACATAACATCATCTTAAGTATAATAACCTCTTCTCCTCATACAGTGCTACCTGGATATATGTTTTCAGGGTTGACCATTTGGTACTGGACGATGAACTGGCATGCTCTGCCCTGGGGAGGACGGCCTCTCCTATCCCTAGCTTTCCTCAGTTGCTTACAGTTCTTTGGGTAGGGTTGAGGCCTTGTGAACTTTTCTCCACCCAGTTTGTCATGTTCATTGGTTTCCTCCTTGTTCAGCTCACATTTGGGCAGTCATGGTGGTGAGACTTTACAGGTGTAGCTTTTGACACTACGTGGAATATATATACGTATATGCATGCATAAGAATTTGGAGGGAGAGAGAGAGAGAGAGAGAGCGAGAGAGAGCGAGAGCGCATGAATTTAAAGGTGAGTGGTGAGGGGTGTGTGGGAGGGTATGGAGGAAGGAAAGGTAAGAGAAAATGTAATTAAATTAAAATCTCAAAAATTAAACAAGTGGTCTTGTAACATTCATGTTTTGAAGGGCAGTTCCCCACTAGAAGCAGCATCACGCAAAATCGCATAAATGGCATCAGTTCATACACTCTGCAAGGATCCCATTACGGCACTCCCCACTGTGATAATGGGGGTGCTCCACACACTCTAGTGTGCCTTCTGCTGGCCATGGGGTGCTCAGCTTTAAAATGTAGCTAGTTAGGGGCTGGAGAGATGGCTCACTGGTTAAGAGCATTGCCTGCTCTTTCAAAGGTCCTGAGTTCAATTCCCAGCAACCGCATGGTGGCTCACAGCTATCTGTATGGGATCTGGTGCCCTCTTCTGGCCTGCAGGCATACACACAGACAGAATATTGTATACATAATAAACAAACAAACAAATGATAATAATAACTAAAAATAAATAAAATATAGCTAGTCTGAACAAAAAAAACCCGAAGTTTTAAATTTTAATAATTTAGTATTGAACTGTAAAGCGCATCATGGAGCTTGTAGTTCTGACTGAAAGTGAGAGGTTAAGTCCACAAGACTTCTTCAGACCAGCCACCTGAGGCCTAGGAATGCCTTCACTTTCTTTGATTCATTTGTATTAATGACAGAGCTTTTCCAAAGATAATTTTAACTCACCTAGTAGGCAAGTCACTAACTGTTTGCATTAAGTTCTTTACTTGGATGCGTTGAGAAACCATAACTTAGTCACTTGAGATATTAACTTCAAAATAATATTTGGTCATTCAGCACCCCTAATGCATACAGTCTTGCTACAATAAATACTACATCTGCCATCTGATCTGGTTCTTAAGTTTGCTAATTTATCAGAAATACAGAAAACAGAATTGGATAAATGATAATGTAACACAGTCAGAGAAATTCAGACTGCCAGAAACCTTCAGAATAAGTAGTCCAGTTTTTCATGAAAAAGTTGGGTTTTTTTATGAAACATGAGATATTTGAGAGGCGGAATTGCAATATATGGACTCTATCATATTAAGATAGAAGTTTGGGCCGGGCGGTGGTGGCACACGCCTTTAATCCCAGCACTCGGGAGGCAGAGGCAGGTGGATCTCTGGGAGTTCGAGGCCAGCCTGGTGTACAAGAGCTAGTTCCAGGACAGGCACCAAAGCTACAGAGAAACCTTGTCTCAAAAAAAAAAAAATACAAGCTTGGTAAAATATGTCTACAATTTGCTTACCAATAATCTGTGGGTGGAAAGATGAAGATTGTGCATAGAACAATATTGACTGCAGATAGTTCTTTAGCTTTGCAACTCCTGATGCAAGTGTCCCCAGCATTAAACATTCTGCAGGTGCCCCGGCTGGAATGTCATTTCCTTCCAGGGGCCTTCTCTGTGTCTACAGATGTCTTCCTCAATTTCTTCTCTGCTCCCTGGGCTCATGAGCCACTGACCAACTCTGTGATCTTCAGTTCATTTATATGTACATTTTGCTTTCTTTGCTTCTATGACCCTGTCACCTAGAATACTTCCTAGCAACAGTTCCTTAATGCCTTAGGAACAAGCTCTTTAGCAAGCTCCATGTTTTACTTTACCTCTTTATTATTGCCTTCTACCTCCCTTTTCTTTAAACGATACACTTCAGCCAAAGTGACACGTTTTCCAGAAGCCTCTTATAATTATTGCCACTGTCTCAGAACATCACCTCATCACCTTCTCAACTCTTGTTCTTTCTTCATGCTTGCAAGCTTCAAGTCTCAGCTCAGGACACCCCCTGTGGAGTCTTCCTCATGGCCTATACCTGCTGCAGCATTAGCTCTTCAGCACAGGGTTCCGCTCAGGAACACTGCGCTCACTCCGCACCCGAGTGTCTCTTATTTACCTTATTGCTGTCTGAGCTCCTGGGCACAGGGGCTGCATCAAGTCTTTCAGACTTTAGCACATTGTTTTGTACCTAGTACGTGCTCAATAAGATATATGGCTAGAAGAGGCATTTAAAAAACTACACAACCAGTAGTTGTAAAGGTTTTGGCAGCCTAAACCAGTCTATCCTGCTGTTGATTTAATTGGCCACTGTAAATAAATTGCTTGACTTTTTAAATTGGTTACATCTATGAAATGATAATTTTGTAACGATTTTCTTAAGTACTAGATAAAATAAGAGATTACTCTGAGTAAAAATTATCTCATTTTTCTTCGTAAGAAAGAAAGAAAAATTATAAGATGGGGTATCACTGTGTAGCCCAGGCTGCTTTTGAACGTTACTCTTACTGCCCCGTCCTCTGAAGGTGCTGGGCTGAGAGGTGTAGCCACACCTACATTTCTAGTATAGTTCCAGACCTGTGCCACTGGAGAGTTACCGCGGAGGGCTTATTAGGAGACAAAAGGAAGTTTAGTTTATGTGTTATATTGACATGCATGCACGTGCCCATAGAGGCCAGAAGAGGGTGTTGGATCCCTTCTCTCCAGTATATACTAAAAGCTGGATTCCAGTTCTCTGCAAGAGCAGCAAGTACCCTTAATTCATTGAGCTATCCTTCCAGCACCCAAAAGAGTTTTATGAAGTATTACTAAAAGATAAAATGTTATTATTATGTGTTTCTATTTATATAATTATAATTCAGAGTAACTGGGATACTTGTAAACTTAAACCCTGCCTCCCAAAGGCTTTACATATTTAGCGTAAGTTAAAAAATTAAGTGCACTTAAACATGTCCCACAACTTTTAGAAATGTATAAAACCAAAAGCCTAACAATATTAGTTAAAAGCATACCAGTAATTAAAACACCAAGGACATGTAGTAGCTGCTGGGAGGTCTGGATATTATCTTATCATTGTATGTTAATGAACAATTTCCAATCACCTCTCTGTAAATACATCAATGTCCCCATGCTAGTTTTACAAAGAAAAATACTGATGCAACTCAGAGATCAGACAAGAACTGACTCCTGTTATCTCGTTTCCTCTGTTATCAGCCTCAGTGGGTAAAACATAGTTTTGAAAATGATTTCATCACTGCTGTAACTATTCCGTGAACATTTCTGAAACAAACCACAGTGCTGGGGGCTGGACAAGTGGCTCAGCGGTTAAGAGCACTGACTGCTTTTCCAGAGGACCCAGGTTCAATTCCCAGCACCCACATGGCAACTCACAACTGTTTGAAAATCCAGTTCCAGGGGATCTGACACTTTCACACTAATGCACATAAAATAAAAGATAAATAAATCATAAAATTAAAAAAAAAAACCAAACCACAGTGCTGATGGCAGGTGGAATGTTTTGGCTTAAGCTATCTTAATAATTTACACTGAAGTCATTAGGACCATAGACTATATATATATATATATATATATATATATATATGTATATGTATATGTATATGTATATGTATATGTATATATGTATGTATATATATATAGCTGTTAATGTTGATTCTTCTATATAGTACCTGGAATCATTCTCTATTCAGATCTGCTCACTGTTACTATTAGATAAGGCATGTCTAAATAGCTTGAACTCATTGGTATTGACTGACTTACCTAAGCTTGACCTTGTGTTGGATCTTTCTATGATTGCATGCTTACTGGGATTGTTTAATACTGAACGTTTGGCAAGGGAGATGTCAGCAGTGACTCTTGTGATGGATATCCTGTTGGAGAAAAGAGAAAAACCAAAAGTTTTTAATCTAATAAAACAGAAGTCACGTCTAGAACTTAAAGGATGACTGATATATACATATACACATGAGGGGCTAGGAAGATGGTTCAGCAGCTAAGAGCATCTGTTGTTCTTGCAGAGAACCCAGGTTTGGCTCCTTGTACTGACATGATAGTTCATAACCGTCTGTAGCTCCAGTTCTAGTGGATCCAGTGTCTTCTCCTGACCTCCATGGGCACCAGGTACACACATGATGTACATATATACATGAAGGCAAAACACTCATATACATTGAATAAATAGATATAAACTTCAAATACACATGTGTTAAGTATCAGCATACACCTACCTTCACGTGTGCGTATATTTTGAAACATACATGTTTCAAAACAGACTTAAAGGACAGGCAGTCATTTATTATGTACCTGTTTTTCCTGGCACTTACTGATTGCTTACCAAGTCTGATTAAGAGACTCAACTTTACTGATAGAAAATAAAGAAATTACAAGCAGCCTTATCTAAAACCCTGTGTTACTACAAACAGAACCAAAAATTACTCTTTAAATAAATTGAACTGTGGTTCCTAATTCTGTAGTCTCAGCGCCTCTGCAGTGCTGTGACATGCATGAAGAAGGCAGCCTGCCTTGAGGGAACTGAGACTCTAGCGCCGGGGTTGGAGAGTGAGTGCAGACTCAGAATGGTGGCAGAATGGCATGCAGACCACATACAGGCCATCACGACAGCGGTAATAAAGTGCAAGGTTACATACGGGGCAGAACTAACATAGTGGTAGTACGTGGAAGCTGGAAATTGGAAGCAGCTGTTTGTGGGAAAGTTCAGGGAATATTCAAATAGGTAGGAGAAAAAATGTGAGACAAAATGAAAGGCTTGCAGTATCTCTGAAGAAGCTGATGAGAGTAAAACTACAACCAAGAGGCTTGGTTTAAAAGTCTGTCCCAAAGTCAGAGCCCCCACCCCCAGAGCGTCAAGTGGCCTAATAAGGATTATTTATCCATTTGGTATAAAACCAGAGACTTAGCTATAGGCAGTAAATCAGAGGACCCCTGACTCAGGTCCTGTAGGCAGAGAAGGGGAGCTGGGAATGTCAGGAGCCAAGAGGGAAAAATGATTCTGAATGCTGAAGCCTCAACTTACTTCTCCATCTTCGTCTTTTGGAATCCCAGCTTATGTTTACTGCTTTATATCTTCTAGGTATCAGAAAAGAGGCTGCTTCTCCGGACAAGCAGCCAAATGACCAAACTATGTGTACATCGGATGTCTCCTTCGTAAAATACTCGTCAGGAATGTCTTACAGCCACCAAGCCCCACCTATGAGTGCAGACCTTCCTGCCCATGCCTGTTTGCCCCATTCTTAAAGATAAGAGCAACACTAGACATCTTTGTAAATGTCCTTCACAAGATGCTATAGAAGAAACAACCATTAGCAAATACACCTGAAGGCTAACTTATGTTCAGAGAACTGAAACATTATTTTTTTAAAGCTCAGAATAAGAAGGCTTTTGGAAATTTAAAAAATGACAGTATAAATGAGAAGTGAAAAGATGACTTTAAGGGCATTTCTGAAAAAATAAAAGCAAAGGGACAAAAAAGTAGGAAAGAAAAGTTTGACAGTTAAAAAACTGACCAGCAGTTCAACTCCCAGATAGTTATTAGCTAAAGAATTAATTCCACATTCAGAGTCTGGATTTTTATACTGAAAGCATCTAGCACTGATTAAAATCCATACACAACATAAATCTCATTACACTAGGAACAAGAAACTTCCGGAGGAAATCAGGGCTTTAGACTTCTCAAGTGCAACAGTGGAGCTAGAAGGTAACAAAGCAAAAGCCTTCAGAATCCCCTGACCATGACCTCGTACCATAGGGCACACTTGCCTTCCCAGCACTTGGCAAGACAAAGTATGTGGGTGTCTAGTTCAAGGGCAGCCCCAGCTACACAGTGAGATCCTGTCAACAACACCCTAGCCATCACATCATCAGTTAGGGCAGCCCCCGCTACACAGTGATATCCCGTCTCAACAACAACAACAAGACCCTAGCCATCATACCATCAGCTAAATAGCTTGATTAAAGGCCTTTTTAGACACTTCAGAAAAATCATTTTAGGGATGTGAATGAATGGTGTGTTTGGCTGAAATGGAAGGGTGAAGGCTGAGAGATGACAAGGAATTGAGGATAGAGGACCACCAACCCAACAGCAACTGGAAGAAATCCCCAAGGCTGGTGTGCAGTATACCAGGAGGTTAGCACAAAATGCTCCCCTCTCAGGTTAGATGGGAAGGTGGAGTGGTACCCTTGGGGAAGCTCCACTGTACGGCATATAATAGGATTCCTTTTATACCGAGCATAGAGAACCCAGATACTCAAGTCATCATTCCTACAGTGCATATTTCAGAATACCTACTGTAAGTTTGTGTGGGCCGGATGTGTTTATCTGGGCAACATAGTAAGATGGCCTGACTCCCCACCATCTCATAAAACGTTATTTTATAGAATTTAAACTTTTATGGAGGAGTAAAGGTGGCAGAGAAATGTGACAAGTGCCACTTAAAATTTAAGGGAGATGACTGAGGATGGAGATGGAACAGCATGGAAGATATCATCTTAGTGTTCAGAAAGTTTGAACAGTTCATTAATGTGGCATTGTAGACTGGAAGGAAGGAGTCATGTAGATACTAAGGGAAGAGGGTTCCAGGCAGAAGGGAAAGCAAGTACCCAAGTGATAAGCATTAGTACCACGTAAGGCTGATGGCCAAAGGGAGGCAGCTGCCTTATGATGGGGCCCATCATGGAAGTACAGCAGTGGCACATGAACTACCTGTGTGGTACGCTTTTTAGGTGGCATATCTGTCATTACTTTGGTTCTTTCCCCAAGTAGTTCAAATTCTAAGGGTAAAATTTCTGGGGATAATTGGGTTAGAGTAGTGGTCCTCAACCCTTGCATGTACATCATATAAGCAGGTAATAAGAGAGATTCCCATATCTTAGCCCCTGAATTTTGTCCAAGTCAACAGGACCTAAGGACAGAGGGAGAGAGTACTGGGAAAGATATCTTACTGGAATTGGTGGGGAACAACTAGGGGAGATGAAGAAAACTAATGCGATGGAAATCTAGTAATGGGGAATAAAGAGCCCGGACTGGCTATCTTTAATAATCAGGCAAGGCTCCTAGCAGTGGAACTGGGACATCAATCCAGCCACAGAACCTTTTACCTACAATCTGTCCTGCCTGTAAGGTGGCCTGGGGTGTAGAACTTGTGGCCAACCAATGACTGGTCCAACTTGAGGCCCATGCTGCAAGAGAGACCCCATATTTGACACTACCTGGAAGGCCAGGAACCAGAGGCAGACAGCCAAGAGACCCAGGATAGAAACAAGCATGAATGGCAAAAAAAAAAGTCAATGAAATGATTCTTCCTGATATTCTGCTATAGTCATGGTCTGGTGCCTAGGCCTGATTGTCATCAGAGGGGCATCATGTCATCCAGTGAACTCTGGGAGCAGATGCAGAGACCCACAGTCAAACACTAGGTGGAGCCAGAGAAACCCTGCAGAACAGGGGTAGGAAGAAGCCAGAGGGGTCAAGTACACCATGCTAAACATGCAGTGGACCTCACAAGGGCTCATTGACACTGAAGTGACAAACGCAGAGTGACACTGTATGGGGCTGATCAGGTCCTCTGCATGCACCTTATGGCTGTGTGGCTTGGTGTTCCTGTGGAACTCCCAAGTAGTACTTCCAGCAGTAGGAGTGAGGGTGTCTCTGACCTTTTTGCCTGTTCTTGGGACCCTTCCTACTGGGTTGCCTCATCCAGTCTTGGTATGTATTGTTGCTTAGGCCATGTTCAGTAGAAGTCACAGGAAGGCCTGCTTTATTATTATTATTATTATTATTATTATTATTATTATTATTATTATT